ACACACACACACACACACACACACACACACACACACACACACACACACACATTATACACAATAAAAACTTGTAATTACGAGATTTAGTACACAAAGCGCAACATTTGAATTGTATTTTGATGGTGTCAGAATCAAAGAGGGATAACAGATAAACCTATTTGAGTAATAATAGGAAAGAGCTGGATTACAGATGAAAATCTCGACATAAACATTTCTGCGAAGTGTGTCTTCTTTTTCTCTTAGCTGTCCCAATAATGGCCTCTTTGGTGCCAACTGTAATGTGATCTCTGCTTTCTTGTGCATGTAATAAAAAAAAATTCGAAAGCAAGACAAGAACTTTAATTCCGAACTAGCGGTACTAGGCTACTAGTCAGTGGAAGGTGAGAACAGAAACAATTCACTGTGGGCTAATCTCGAGTGTTTCAAGGAAATACGAGAGACGAGAGTGTATATTTTTGTAAGGTTTTCTGGCGCTCGCAACTGCAAAAGGTCATATGAGCGCCAAGGGGTGGATGTCAAGATAAGTCCAAACGGGGAATCAGGCTTACTCTGCTCACCTCTCTAGCCTCAACAGCACAAAGTCTGCTTCGACTATCAAGGCACCCCGGAAGTAGCAGTTCACAAGAGAGTGACGAACATTCGAAAGAAGTAGAGGAAAAATGAGGATAGTAAGGATGAGGATAGAAAAAGCAGCAGTTCCCTCTATGTTGTTCCGGCACAGGATGAGCCTGATACTGATACTGATACTGATACTGATACTGATAAATCAGCCCATTTAGGCTACAACAATTATACTGTGCAAAAGAACATTCCTTTGGGAATGGCATGATAACAACTTCAGTCAGTAGCATTGCCCTGGTAGGGGAAATACGAGAATACGTAAGAGAACAAATACCGTGAATAAAGCAACACAAATAAACTGTACGCAGCCTCAAAAAGAATTTAATTTAAAAGAAATTTAAGAAACAATTAAGAACTAAAGAGTGCCCTTCAGGCAACATGCTGATGTTTATAGTAGTTTTTGCTCATTCATCTCTTCCTGTATACATGTAAGGTTGAGAAATATTACTTTCAAACATACACCAGTTCAAGCCTAAAAGAATCAACAAACGGAGATTTATCATACATATTACACAAAAAACAAAAGTGCAACGAATCAAATTTTTATTAACAAACCATTTACACATTTCCAGGTGAGTTCCACATCCGAACACTTAAATAAACGTATTGATATCGTGAGGTACAGACGTGTAGCTGGGAGCCCAGAGACAATCAGACTGTCTAAACATCATCAAATATACTTTAATTTTTAGATACGGTTTTTATCGAGAGGAAAGCTCGAGGTTTTATATTACGGTTCTGAGATCGAAACAAAATCTTCTATGTCTGACGCCGTAATATGTTTAGTTTGGACACATTTAATCACAGAGAAAAAGTGTAGACTACTTGGTCTTTCATTATAGTGGAACTTGTACTCTACTGTGGTGTATGCGTGAGTGTGTGTGTGTGTGTGTGTGTGTGTATGTGTGTGTATGTGTGTGCGTGTATTTGTGTGTGTGTGTGTATGTGTGTGTGTGTGTGTATGTGTGCGTGTGTGTGT